TTTAAATTATTGCTTCATCTGGAAATTATTTCATTATAAAGAATAAGTTAGTAAAACACCTTGAGTTTTGGGTTTCTTTTCCTCCCCTCAACATGTTCTGCAATATTTTCTAAACAATCTATGTTTACCCCCAATGGTGTAAACTGTTGTTTCTCTCTAAATTAATACATATTTCTAATGTAATGCAAAGGAGGGAAAAAAGAGTGGGTATTGATTACATGACACTAAAGGTCACCAAGGGGAAGGGGGGGCAAGGAATGTAAGAAGAGTTGGCTCTGAGATATCAAAGCAACTCTTCTTTACAAAGCAATTATTAAATCTAGATAAAATACAGAATAAGTAGGTATTTGAAGAGTTATACTAGCAAACAAGACATGCAGAATTTTAAGGCCAAGATATTGAATTTTTTAAATTAAGTTATGTTGATGGACTTTTTTTGTTTGTTTGTCTTCAATGAAGCTTGGACTTCTTCCTCCAGTGCTATTGGTTCTTACCCATTTGATACTTCATCAAATGATTTATGTTCAACCAGTTATTTTTAGTTCAATGAGTCTATATCCTTCAATCTTTTTATGCTTCCTTCATCATTCACTATTTTGCCCTTAGAATCTTTAAATATTCCAACTTGAGGATTGAGTTTTTTCTTCATTCTTGTGCTTGAAATATGCTAAGCATATTCCACCCCCTTGGCTTCCTCACTCCAGGCCTTAGCACATTTCATTATAATACTTATTCTCAAACTGCCCTTTTCAACAAGATGTTCAAACACTGGAAGCATGCATTCACCTATACCGAGACAGCTAGCTGGCCAACTGACTCAAAGTGATCCATCTGCACCCAGGCTAAATAAAGCTGACCCAACAGAATGAGAAAATGGTCAAAATATATTATTAATATAACATACAAATACAATTTTACTGAAGCTCATTCAACAAAGTTTTCAATGGAGCTGGCACAAATTCAAGTTGTATTCATATGTGGGCATGTCATGAGGGTTATCATTGCTGACATGAGATACATCTGGCTGGAAGCAGAGACTACCAGAAAGATGTTCATTTGTGTCTTATTAATCTAAAGCAATTGACTGTATGGATCATAAAAATCTGATAGCTCTGAGAAGAATGGGAATTCTAGAACATTTCATTGTGCTCACGCAGAAACTGCATGGATCCAGTGGCACTTGTAGAAATATCACATGGGGAACACTGCATGGTGGTTTAAAATCAGGAGAAGTAGGTGTCAGGGTTATATCCTTTCACCATACATTTGTCCTGCATGCTGAACAAATAATCTGAAAATCCAGACTAGGAAAATTGGAAGTTGTCAAAATTGAGACAACATGTGAAGATAGATATCCTAGATGTTAGTGAGTTGAGATGGACTGTGATTGATATTTTGAATTGGGCAATTACATAGGCTACTATGCCAGGAATGACAAATTGAAGAGGAACAGCATCACATTGATTAACAAAGAGTATTTCAAAATGTATCCTATAGTATGACACTGTCAATGATAGGAGAATATCCATACACCTAAATGAAGACCAGTTAATATGAAGAACTATTATTCAAACTTATATACCAACATCTCTTTATTCCAATGGTGAAGAAATTGAAGATTTTATCACTTCTTCAGCCTGAAATTGATAAAACATGTAATCAATATGCATTGATAATTACCAGTGATTAGTTGAAATGTGAAAGTTAAAAACTTAAGAAGGATAAGGAGTTGGAATATATGGCCTGGGTGATAGAAATGACATTGTAGATCATATAATAGAATTTTGCAAGACGAATTAACTTCCTCATTGCAAATATCTTTTTTTCAACAACGTAAGACTATACATGCAGTCCTCACTAGATGGAATATGCAGGAAACTAATCAACTCATCTTTTAAGAGTGTTGAAGGAGAAGCTCAATATCATGAGTCAGAACAAGGTCAGGGTCCAACAGCAGAACAGACAATAAAGGATCCATATGCAATTTCAGCCTAAACCAAAATTCTGAAAATCAAACTCACTGCCATCTAGTTGATTCTGACTAGCAGTCCCTTAAAAAAGATTCTTGAGCCTGCAAGTCTTTATGGGCGCATATAGTCTCATCTTTCTCCCAAAGAGCAACCGGTGAGTTTCAACCACCAGCCATGTAGTCAGCAGTCTGGTGTTTACCCAACAATAAGTCCCCAAGGTCGTGAGTATATCTCATCCAAAACTAGAGGCCATTTCAAGAATAAATTAGATGCATTGAACACTAAGGATGAGTTGGCTGACAGCCAGGACATCACACATGAGAGGGCATAGCTCAGTGGTAGAGCAATTGACTGTAGGACATCACGCATGAGAATAACCACCACCACAAAACTCACTGCCATCGAGTCAGTGCAGACTCATAACAACCCGAAAACACAGGGTAGAACTGCCCCCTGTGAGTTTCCAAGACTCTAATTCTTTACAGTGGAAAACCCCGTCTTTCTTCTTGAGAGTGGCTGGTGGGTTTGAACTACTAACCTTATGGATCACAGCCCAACTCATAGCAGCTATGCCACTAGGGATCATTTGAAGACAACAAAATGACATTAAAATTACAGGGAAGGAAAATGAAAATGTGGGTCAGAATAGACTGAAATTTGTTCTTGAATGTAGAATAGTTGAAGTGAATGTAAGAAATGATGAAATAAAAGAGTTGAACAGAGATTTGCTCTGTAAGCTTACCTTCAACTCACAGTAAAAAAAATTCAAACAAATGAATAAGTTTTTAAAAGACGATGTAAGATGGAGAAGAAGAAAAGGGGACTAAATAATAAATGGGAGGAAGCACAAAGGAAGGAAGGAAGGAAGGAAGAAGGAAGGAAGAAAGGAAGGAAGGAAGAAACAGCCACATCATTACAGTACTAAAAATAATTGATTGATAGTCAAGCATTTCAAGATATAGCATATGATCAAGAAATGATGATATTAATGAAAGAACCCCAAACTACATTTAAGGCATTGGAAGGAAGCAGGAATTAGTGGAATACAAATTGATATGTTTCAATAAGGGGATGCAATGCTGTAAGCCTTGTCTATGCTAATATATTTGGAAGATTGAAAGAGATCAATAGACATTGTGCCAAATTTTTAAAAAAGTGAATCAACATAAAATTATATAAAAGCGAAATTTTGCTAAAGGTTACCTTAAAATTATTGTAATAGTACCTGCATAAGGAACTACTGGGAATTCAAGCCATATTCAGAAGAGGACATAAAATGAGAGAGATCGTTGTTGATGTGAGAGGGACCTTGGCAGCAAACATAGCAATGATTGTGAGGATGGGCAGGGGTGGGCCATGTTTTGGTCTCTGTACACGTCACTGTGAGGCAGAAAGGATTTGAGAGTATTTAACAGTACTGATAACCTCTAAGTATAGAGAATTCAAGCTATGGGCTGGAAGTGAGGAAGGAAATGGATCCCCAGAAGGAAATTGTGGTATGGCTACAAAGAAGCTAAGTAGCTCCTAGGAAGCAAACATGTCCCTTCTATGGTGAAATATTCTTGGGATGAGAATGGGAGAAATGAATGTAGACTTCTCTTTCTTTAGTGCTCCAAATTAGATGACCAAATCACTCCTTTTGAAAAAGTAAAGACATAATGAGATAAAGTGTTCCTCAACCAATATGTCTCCCACCCCACCCGCCTGTTTTCACACTTCCTTTGTTTTTATAAGTGACAGGGTTTGTTTTGAGGAGCTGACCTGGAAAATAAAACAAGTGCTCAGGATAATTGACGATCACTGCCGCTGCAGGAAGACCATCTTATACTGAAAGAGCTCTATCTTTGTTAACACGTTCCTTCTATTACTGGTTTAAATAATGTTTCTGACAAGACTCTGTTTTTCTCCCTGTCAAGTGTCAGTGAACTGGTATTGGACATTATTTGTGAGGTTGTAAATACATTACATGAAAAAAAAAAAAATGAGTTTTTTTAAAAGTCCAAAGGAATGCCTCCAAAGACATTCCCTACCATGGAGATTTATGTAACGCCAGAATGGAATTTCAGAAACTTCAAATCACAAGTCTGGGAAGAAAAACAAAGTCTCTTCCATATCTGCCTTTATTGTGGTCTGTGGATGATTTCCCCTTATATTTTTAATCTGGAGGATGGAGAGTGTTTTCTTTTTTTATGTTCAACTTAAATTGTTTAGTTAATGACCTAAGAATAGCTCTGAGGAGCATCCCTCACCATAGCATATTATTACTCCATTCTTCTCACTTAATTTGATGTATCTATTGTGTTCTTGCTGCATAAACTGATCCCGGGGATTAATCATTTTCTTTTTACCAGCTAGAAATTGTAGACATCTAATGGATAACTACTTACATCAGTCAATATAATGAGTAGCATTGTCTAGGCTTTAAAATATACTGATTATTCTATGTTGAAATAAAATCCACATTCATCCTCATTTGGCATTTCCAAGTTTTCCAAGTTTCTCCTTTCTGTCTGCCTGAAGAAAATAATTTGGTTAAAGCTTTGTTTTTTTCCAGCTCTTCCAAGTTGAGGACTTAAGGCTTAAGTGCATCTACTGGTTGCTATGCAAAAAGGGCTAAACAGACTTTGATTTTTTTTATGGCAGTATAACTTAAGCAAATTACATAGCTTCAGTTTTGGTTTTGTTTGTTTTTTTTTAAGCAGGGAATAATTTGTCAACTTAATCAGACTTGTTCTATGAAAGAACATGTTGGTTAATCTTACCTGGGGCATCTCTCTGGCAGCCTTGCAGTTAGAAAGAATGGGATGTTGACTGGCTGTGGTATCGGGTCAAGATGAAGAACCAAGGCAGAGTCAGCTGACTTGACAGAAGAGGCAAGACCCGTTGGTCCTCCACAGGCTAAGCCCAAGTCTGTAGGCATGAGCTTCCCAAGCAAAGGGGGCCCATTCAGTCATCCAAATTGTTAAAGAAAAGTCAGTGAACTTGAATCTGAGTCATAATTAATGGGCTTGGTTTCTGTTTCGTTTTCAGTTGTTTGAATTTATGAACTTTCTGGCCGAGAATGTCATCTTTTGTTACATGGGCCTGGCGCTGTTCACGTTCCAGAATCACATCTTTAACGCCCTGTTTATGCTTGGCGCTTTTGTATCCTTTGAAATACAGCATGTGGGATTGTGGGAAGGAACACATGACTAACTTTTTCTTATTATTCTGTTAAATTTTGAAAGTAATTTCCTTGGGTTTGTGGCAAGGCTCAAATTCAACATTGGCAAGTAATTTCTAGTCCGAGCAGAAAAGCATCCTCTTAAATCGGAGGCTTTATTAAAATGCTTATATTTTCAGAAGAGACATTGAGAAAATACTCAGGGGAATGAAAGGAGGAAACAAAGAAAAGGACATTTTTCCAGTATTTAAAAGATGTTCAATTAAGATTACGAATCGTTTTTGTGAGAAAAAAAAAGTATGTGGATCCATTCAACACTGAGAAATGGATTGAATATGCATTAGAGCATATCAGAAGGTCAGGAGTATCTCTCCTGACAGCCAGAATTATTCAGCTTTGGAAATGTTTTCATTGCATGATGGGACTTTTTTTTTTTTTTAACCAAGGAACCTTCGAACTAGGATAGAGAGAATAAAGAGGAAATGAAACCAGTGTGAAAGGTGTGCCTTCCCAGGCATTACGTGGTATATGTTTATCTCTCTGGAAGAAGCAGGGCAGATACAATCCTGGGTCACTTTTAGTGAAGGACTTTTCTAGCTCCAGTGTTGGCAGAAGACATCATGGGAATGGCTGTCTGTCTGAAGAATAATGAACCATGGGGGCTACCCCCAAGGAGATCCACAGCTGTTGTGTTTCTTCCCGCCTGGAAAATGGGCAGACTGCCCCTCATGCGACCACAGCCAAAAATTGGAACAGTCTGGAGGGCCCCAAATCTCTGTAAGATCTTTTCCAACTAAGCACCTCTATTGCCTCTTAGTCCCTTTTTAATGAACACTGAGCCACACTTCCAAATTTCATCTTGAACCTGGATCTCAAACAGAGGCTCCCTCTGCCCGCTTTCCCCTCTCCCCCCACCCCACCCTCCCCACACACACAAAAATAAAACTGACCCTATTCCAAATGAAGACAATCTGGAATAAATAGACCATAAGATGTCAATAATGACTCCCTCCCCTCCACCAAAAAAAGGAGAGATTAATACTATCTATATTTTTGTAGGCTTTTATCTGTAAAACGTGGGTTTTAGTAAAGTATCTCTTAAAGCAGCAGTTGTATTCTACATTTAGACAGGCAATTCCTCTCAAAATTGAATCCACCAAAAGAAACAAAAACATAAGCAAAGCCTGATAGAGACAGAGCACAAACTGAGGGGAAGGAGATGGCAATCGCGCGCAGAAGCACATGGATCTTCTGAAGTGCTGCTTGAGAAGATAATGCCACATCTCCCTGACTTGCATTTTACAGCAGAATTGAGGATTGAGTCCCTCATTGGAAATATAAATGTGATGAGAAAATTTATGGTGATTGAAATGGCATTGAGTTAACAATTTTAAACCAAGCATATATCCGAAGAGAGACACCAGTTCTCTATTATTTCTGGAAAAAAAATTGACATCAAAATATGAATTGGGGGAGTAAATTGGGCATATATGTATTGACATATTTATTCCTGCTTTCTGGGCCATAACATAGAGAGATTTTAAGCATAAGTACTCTCACTTCATTGCAGCAACATTTTCCTTAATGTTTTCCTGTGCTTACTCACAGCTAGCAATTTTTGTTGCAAGAGCATGCAACATATACCCCCTCTCCTTCCTTCTGAACCTGGGCCGCAAACAAAAAATCCCGTGGAACTTTCAGCACATGATGATGTTTTCAGGTATGTGAGCTAAATTGCATGTTAGTGGTAATGACTTGTTTCACATTTTCACAGAACCTCATGTCCCATGAGGAAACTTAGAGATCTAGGAGAAATAGAACTTCTCTTCTCCGCCTTGGACCCAGCACCATGCTGATGCTCCATAAAGTTCCAAGCAGCAAGAAGATTGCTCTTTCCAGACAAAAAGTGACCCTAAAGGGAACCATGTTGGGATGAGCGAGAGGTGTGGTTTTTGACTGGACTGGACAGTGGGCCTCCCACTGACCTAGTTCAGATCAATCTTCACATCAGGGGATTTCAAGGATTGTTTCACAAATCAAATGCTTCAGGGTAAGCAACAAGTAAATGGTTCCACTCCCACCTCCTGTGAAAGTCCCTCCTCCGTTGCTTCCCCGCTCTTTTCCCCTACAAACCTCCCGCAGCTTCTCATGATTCACCCAGAGGCCAATCAGACTCCACTATGAGTTGGGGGAAATTGACTGAGTGTTCACCAGGAGCAAGACTAATTCCAGGTCCTGGTGGATGAAAGAGACAAGGTCTCTGCTCTCACGAAGTTTAAGGACTAGTTTCTGAAACCCTACCCGAAGGCTGCTTTCCAGAAGAAAAGAAAACAGATGAACGGGCTGACCCTGAACTTCTCTGGAGACTGCACTTTCTTTCTAATCAATTTTTCCAGCATCAGTCTTTCCTTGTTCAGAGACCTTTCCCCTCATGTGGCTTCTCTGTGTATATACACTTACAACACCCTCAGAGGCAGTTTATTGGAAGATACATGAGAATAAAAAGCTGCTAGTGGAATAAGGCAAACAAATGTATTTGGGACCCAAAGGGGCATGTGGACAAAGGAATAGAAACAGCATTTAGTTAATACCTCCACAGAAATGGACTCCAACAACCATGGACTCAGCAATCATGACAATGTTTTTGTTCTGTTACACATAAGGTCCCCATGAGTCAGATCCAACTGAGTGACAACTAACCGCAATAACATACATTAATCCTCTGAAGCAGATATTAACCCAGTTTGTAGGTGAGAAAACTATGGTTCATATGACAGTATCCCTGAACAGAAGTCTGTGCCTGGTCAACATGGTAAAACAAAGTAGATCTCAGGTTATGAATGAATCATTTAATCAAATATAAAATCAAGCCAAATTAAACCCACTGCCATCAAGTTAATTCCGATTCATAGCAACCCTACTGGCCAGAGTGAAGTGCTCCTTATGGTTTCTGAGACTGTAAACTTTCATACAAGCAGATAGCTTCATCTTTCTCTCTGGAGTTGCTAGTGGGTTTGCACCGCCATTCTTGAGGATAGCCGTTCAATACACCAGGGCTCCTTAAGCACACACAAATTGAGATCTAAACTTGATCTCTACTTAATTCTCAAACTCCAGGTTGAGAAAGTCGTCTGAAAGTGCTTCCCTGTATTTTGAGGCATGCCCTGGTGAGAGAGAGCAAGAAAAAGGATGAGAGCTTGGGCCAATCTGTGAACTGCAACTTAGAACAACAATGCAGTCTAGCAATCAGTTGACTTCTGTTCTGAGAATGCAAGAAACAGATGCACTAATAACAAGGAACAAATGTGCTAAGAACAAGCAAGAAACAAATTCCTTATAACAAGGAAGCCGGCACCATGTTTCATTTTTCACAGAGCAGTTCTAGGAGTTGGAAAGCACTTCTCCTTTTTCCACATAAAAAAATTTCAACAGCTTTGCTCTGTAGACCACTACCTGATTTTTAAAGCTTAGATATTATAGTTTCAACCATGCTTTTCTTGACAAAGAATGCTTTGAGAAGGCTTCTAAAGTTTTAGGTATTCATGTTGAGATGAGAAATTTCTACCTCAATTATTTCCTGGTCTCATGGCTCCTCCGGGACTTGGGACTTTAGTGTTTGCTTAGCTATCGAATCGGGATGCATTCTAAACTGATAGATGCCAACAATAGGGTGAGTTGCAGTCAGACAATAGAAGAACATCCAGAAGGTGGTGATGATAGTCTAAGCAGGTCAGTCTCAAGCACTCAAGCCAAATAAAGTTGGTTTTCTAAATAAAGTTGTAACACATCTATCCCATTTATGTACATATTGACTACGGCTATGTTTACACTGCAATGGAACAGTTCGGTTGGTAGTCACATCTGTAACTATATGGCCTGGTCACCAGGAAATATTTATTCTCTGGTCCTATTCTAAAGCATCTGAATCTTCTAAAAGGCAAAAAAGTGGTATAAAATTTTATTACATTAATGGGGCTGGAATTATTAGTTTCATTCATGGGAATGCCAATTGGCTATCAACATCATTAAACAAAGCAGCACAGCAAAGCTTCAGGGCAGGTGCACAGGTATGACTGCGATGTTCAGATAAAGGTGTCCATTGTGTTCCACACTGAGACACCATGTCATCATTCAGGAAACTGAATCCCTTACTGCCAGGATTTCAGCTGTTTAACATCATGGGTTACAGTCATATTGGTTCAAAGCAGACTTCATTTCATAGATTTGACTGGGTCTTTTGTTTCGCACACTTTTCATACTGAAATGATTTTGAACAACAAAGGAATTGGATTTACTCCTTTGTATTTTGTGCCATTTTCATCAAAATTTAATAATATTTCTAATGCTCCATGGTATGATTGAAAGAACACTGGGTTCACCACCAAAATCTGTTTTCTTGGCTTTAAATTCATAAGAAATTCCAACATTATATGATTATATTGCAGAATCCTACACCTTCCTAAGACATTCAATAGGTGCTGTTTGAAGGGCCATAGCCAGGATAAGGTAGCATAGTCATTATTGGTCTCTTTTGGCAGGTTATAAAAAGAGAGAGCCGTGAAGAGGTTGTGCAACCTGCTCTCACTCTCAAAACGAATTAGAGATCAAATTAAGACTTGTACCCAGGCCTTTCAACAGCAGGCTTAGTACCTTCCCCTCACCCTGACACAGCCTCAGATTTACCCTCAAGGTCATGAAAACAAAAGTTAAATCAAAACCAGGGCCTTTCTAACAAGGCCAGCCCCAGCATGCCTGATATGTCTCTGATGTTAAACTTGACCCCCACCTAGTTTATAACACCCTCCACCCCAGCCAGAGGCTCAGGCATACACTCTCTTCCCCACCACCAGCAGTACATAAAGGACCAGGTGAGGTCACTACCTGTATGGCAAAATACCTTCAAACTCAGCTTTGATTTTTTTTTTTTACATGACTTCTGTGTTGTACTTTACTCGGGACCTAAAATTTTAATTGCATTTTTCAGGAAATAAATAATTTAAAAAGCCAATTTAAGGTCACATAAGCCCAAGAAAGAGTTTAACAGAACAGATAAAAGAATGCATGATCTAGTCTTGTCTGGGTGTGTGAGAATAATGCTTGCTGACACTATATGGAAAAGTGCATTAAAGAATATTTAGTTTTTAATGTAGTCTCAGGTTCTCAATTATCCTTACAATGTTTTTTAGCTATCCAATAAGAAGAATTATTTAAATAAGTTCTGTGGCTAAATCGGATTATCCATGCTTCACTAATGGATTTAAATTATGTCTTTCTTTAAATCAAAACTAATCTCTCATCCCCCAAGTTCAGAGTAGAATTGGTCTCCATAGGGTTTTCAGTCACGGTGACCTTTTGGAAGCAGATCTCCAGGACTTTCTTCCAAGGTATCTCTAGCTGAGTTTGAATGGCCAGCCCCTCCATGAGTAGGTTAAGTACTTATTGATAGGTACCACCCAGGTCCTTTGGAGCAGGTAAACAATAACCCTCTAGCTAAAGGAGGTAAGGAGATTGTGGTGATGAACACACACACACACACACACACCCTTCTGAATATGTTTGAACTATTGAGTTGTATGATGTGTTATGTCTCAATAAAACTATTAAGATGCAAACATAAAATAAACTGGGTAAGGAGAGTAGGTGGAATTGTGGCTTATACATGGTAAGCAGTTCTACCTACCAGTTCCTATATGGGGGAATGCTGAAACTATTGGTTCCTACAAAGATTTAAAGTCTCAGAAACTCAAGGGGAACAGTTCTACTCTGTCCTGTAGAGTCACTGCGAGTCAACTCAATGGCAATGGCTATTTTGTTTTTCTTTTACCCAAAAATGTGAGAGTGAATGTATTGATACATTGGTTCATTCACTCACAATCACCCAGTTATTTATCCAGCAGACATTCATTGACTAACCTTGCTGGGAGAACAAAGACAACGATGCCTGCCTGTCCCTAAGAAAGAGTGAGTGAGTCTATGAGGTAAACCCAGACTCTGAGCTCTAAGGGAGTATAACTTTCTAAAAAGTTAGAAAGGCAGTCCTGTCTTCATCAATTCATCTTTCAGTTGACAGATCCTTCCCCATCATTTTTACCCTCATCCTACATGTTGAGCAGGGGAGAGGCTGGGTTCCCCGTGAACTTAATGAAGGTCAAGCTTGAGGCTTTCTCACTTATACTGGCCCAAGATCCTGGAAAGGGCCTTAGAACCATGCTCTGATGGCTTAGAAATGTTTGTATTATTTTCCTTAGCAAGGGCACCAGAATGGTGTAAGCTTTGTTATCATTGTTGGACAATGTGTACAGTCAGTCCCCAATTCATGGCAACCCCCTGCACAGTAGAATAAGTGATCACTTAGGTAATGGACCATTGTGATCCAAAAGGACTTTCACTGTGTAATTTCTGTTAACACCTGTTTAGCATCGTAGCAGCATGACAGCAAGAAGTGGGCGCACAAGAAGCTGGCATTCAAACATGGGTCCTTCACATAGAAAGAGAGAATCCCATCACCAAACCACCACTGCTCAGAGAAACTTTACATCTATGATGTCCAGGCAGTTCTGACCTGAGGCAACCCAATAGGACTGAGTAGAACTGCTCTGGACTGTTTCCAGGGCTCTAATCTTTATGGAAGCAGACTGCCAACTCTTAGCCCCACAGAGAGAACCATGGACTTGAATTGCCGGCCTTTTGTTGAACTGCTGAAGCACCAGTACCTCCTCT